AATAATAGACAAACATGGTAATTGACCATACCTTCGTTACGCCTCCCATTGGCTAATCAGCACGAGATGCAAATTAACCGCCAACAAAGATGGCGGCTAATTTGCATACTTTAGGCAGGGCAGGACAGTGCAATCCGCCTGCCCCGCCGCCCACTGGGCCTGCAGTCCCTGTGCATGGCCCGGTGGTTGGCAGGGCGGGGCACGGTGGATCATGTTCCGCCCGCCCCACGCCCCACCCCGCCCCGCCGCCTGCCAGGCCGATTTCCATCCGCCGACCCCGTCCCACCACCCGCTGGGCCTGCCGTGTGCGGTGGGCAGCGGGGCGGGGCGGTTCGGCAGAGGGCCTGCCATCTGCGACCCAGCGTGGGATCTGGTCCTGCTATCTGCCACCCGGGAGCCGGCCTAAGCCAGCAGGTGGTTATCTCCCGAGGGGTCCCAGACTGTGAGAGGGCACAGGTCTGGCTGAGGGACACTCCCCACCTCCTCCTCCACCACCCTCCCCCGCCAGTGCACAAATTTTTGTGCACCGGGCCTCTAGTATAATACATAATCAATAAAAATATGAATGACACATTTTATGTTATTTTTTTCATACTGTCTTCAAAATCTAGTGTGTACTATACCCTTACAGCACAACTCATTTTGTGACTAGCTACAGTTCCAGTGCTCCATCGCCACATGTGGATAGTGGTTACCTATTGGACAGCACATACCTACAGAATTCATTATAAAATTTAGCACAAGATTATTGTCTAGGCAGGCAGAAGATGGGTCCTCTGTAAAAATCATAATTGGAGTATGGTCAGCCCGTGACACCCTTATGACAGTTGATGCTCCATTCAGAGCCACAGGGAAAAATGTGGGAGGTGACTTCTATAGACTGAAAGTTTGTATTCCCCCCTTCACCCCAATTCATAACTTGAAGCCTAATCCCCAATGTGATAGTATTTGGAGATTAGGCCTTAGGAATGTAATTAGATCACGAGTTTGGAGCCCTCATGATGAGATTAGTGCCTTTATAAGAAGAGACGGGAGAGAGCTTGCTTCTCTCTGCTCTGTGGGCCATGTGCAGACACAGACAGAAGGCACTGTCTATAAGCCAGGAAGCCAGTTCTCACCAGATGCCAAATCTGCTGGCACTTAGATCTCGGACTCCCCAGCCTCTAAAACTGTTAGAAATATTTTTTAAGGCCCCCAGACTATGGTGTTCTAACAGCCTGAGCTGACAGAGACAGTAACCAGTCACCCAGATCATGTGCTAATGAGATGATTCTCCCCTCACAAACAAGCACCAGGCAGTTCAGTAAGAGAACATCAGAGGAGGCTTCGCTGCTGCAGTACCAAGAACACAGGGAGAGCACAAACGAGACCAGGAGAACTGAGGCTGCACATCAAAATCTTACATTCTTCTCCATCACTATTCATGTACATATTTAGAAGATACCATTGTTCATGAGAACTGAGTGGGCTTTTGAACCTGGATCCAAGAGACTGGTATAACTGGTTTAGATACATGACTGATTGATCATACTAAAGCCAGCATTGTTCCTTGGGCATAGAAAAGTATATGTCATTAAAAGACAAATGCCTCCGTGTAATAAACAAAATAATTATTTCCAGGGAAACATTTCAAATTCAAAAAATTCTATGGCAAACACTGAATTCTGTTTCTGAAAGTCTCAGAAAGACATCTTGTTGCACGGTGGGTAGATTTTTAATTAAAGACTCAAATATAAACATCTGATTATTGCCAGCGCCTGTCTGTACAAAGTAGTCTCATTTCCAAAAAATCTGCTTTTGTGCCCTCTGTCCTACTCAATCATATCCCTGGTGACTTTCTCAGCGAGGTGATTTCCTCCCGGTCTTGCTCCAGCCTGTGGTTTTAGAACACCTTGTGTGCCACAGTGAAACCCTAGTCCTCTGAAAAGGGAAATGAAATGAACCACGGTCTTGCCTAACCTGCATCTTCAATCATTACTTTCATTATTCTTCTTTAAACCAATCACTCCAATCTTTCGGTGATATTTTTTTTAATGGCAACTTCTTATTTACATTACTGTCTGCCTGGAAGGCATGTGAGACTTTTCCTGGTACTGAGCTCAGCTAATTACCACGGCATACACGTGGCTAAACAGTTCTCCAGAACAGCAGTTTGGTAGGGGAGATGCCGAGGCTGACAGGAAAGATTAGGAGGGAAGGCTCCCATGGTAGCTTCCTCTCTCTACCAAAGCCTAAATTTAGAATAGCCTTTCTCCTCCAAGCTGAAGGTGAAATAATGGCAAATATAACAATGTTTGAAGAGGGGTAGGTGGGAAAGGACCCCTTCAGGGGAAGGAGCCCTGACCAGGACTTGCTCAGGTCAAAGGAGACTGGTCATGGCCATGCTTATACTTATGCGTTTATAGACCTTTATTTAGCAGAGCCCTTTGGTGAGTCTGTATTTGGTGATGGAGGCAAAACTGTTTGATATGAGATAGTAACAAAAATTTAGAGAGTGGGAAGTCAGCATTTGGGGTGCGGAGTGGCCAGGAAGATAGTGATAAGCCAGTGCCCCAAAATAGTGTCACTATCTTGAGATTTCCCCGTGGGGAATAGCTGATAAATTGTTATGACAGAGTTGCCTAGATTTCTGATTTAATCTATCACTTATCCTGTGGTGTTCTGCAATTTCCTTACGTTAGTCCAAATCTTCGGTAAAATTCTGCTAAATCCAACAGTATCATATTCATGGTATTGGAAGGAGGGGCTGCTGGTGTTCAACATGGGGCAAAAGGGATTAAGAAGAGAGGAGGCTATCAATAGAAACTGAGTAATGGGTTGGACGAAAAGGTCAGAAAAATGCCATCTCTGGAGAAATCAACAGAAATACTGACTGGAGGCAGAGGAGGGTCACTTCCCAAAGTAAGCGGGTGGAGAGTTCCATGGTCTTACTTGGACATTAGAGAGAGAGAGAGAGCTCAGAAAGCTGTAAGATTTGAGAACATATGGTTCATATTATTGCTTACTGGCATCAAAATACTTGAGTTATCTGTCAGTTCCATGGTCCCCACCTGTATTGCTGACTAGTAAAATTTTAGGGACTTCTAGGATAACTAACTTTTTATTGTATTATGCAAAGATATTTTAAAAAGTAATTGACATTGTTTCATAAAACAAAAGGCACTTTAACACACAGGCAAAATGGAAAGGGCATAATCGCAGAAAAATTCTTAAAAATTTTGTTTTTCATAAAAAATTTTTGTTTTTATCTGAAATGTTCTTACACTTTCAACCTAGTGAAACACTACATAGTTTATCTTATTTAGCTTCAGCTTATAGAGTCCTTAAATCTTTCTTCACTTATTTATTCTTTTTTTCCCCCTTTCAAAAACATTGGTAAGCCTCTTATGTGCCAAGCACTGTGCTAGGCACTGGGGTACAGAGATGAACATGATTCTGCCCTTTTCCTCAATGTCCCATGGTTTTCTATCAAAGTCAGTCAGGTGACCCCAACTTCAAACAGTATCACCTGTGCTATAGTGAAGTAGAGGAACTGGCAGAATACTAACGGCAAAAAGGCCAAACAGTTAAAAAGCAGTCAATCTATCTCTAAGCAGAAGTGCAAGAAACACTAAAGCCTGATGTTAGGAATTAACTTTGCACAGATCACTTGAGTTTTCTTACCAATAATTTAGGGGGATAGTACATCCCAGAGATCATGGAGTTCTTTAGACTTTTATTTGTTCTGAGTCCATCACAGGGCTAGGAACACACCTTATCTGTGATATGTCAGCTGGTCCATACCACACACAGGACAGAAAGAGGTGGAGTTTGGAGAATAAAAACTGCCCCTTCCCAAGTGTCTATAATGGAACGGCTCTGCACACAGCCACTGGGCTCCCTTCAGGACACACCAGGGGAAGGTCAGAGGAGGACAGGACAGGGTGAGGGCTGTGCTGCTATGGCAACCACACCTTAGGGTGGAGTGACAGAGTGGAGATGGAACACTTGCTCAATACACACAGTTGGGAGATGACTGGGAAGGCATAGGCACATGGGTCCCTCCAGCTCAGTGCAACCCCAAGTTCCTGGGTCAGTGAGAGTTACAGAGGGAGGCATATCATGGTATCCCAATAATCAGTTCCTGAATTTTCCCGGGAGTAGGGACACATACCCACACACATTTATGTGGGATGAAGATCCAGAGACAGGTACAATGGGGGGTTTTCTCTTTTCTCTGTACCATTAAAGAAAAAAAAATCATGCTATGTTTTTCTTGCATTATATAATCAGAGTATATGTGTCAAAGGGATAGCTGCTGGAAGTCATTCCCTTGCCTCACCTCAATTCTTGTCAGAAACAGGTCTAACATTTTCACACAATTATCCATCCTTATTTAAAATCAAAATCTCAACAGACAGGGGCATGGCTGCAGTTCCTACGTCTCTGGCCGGGTCTTCCGGCTTCTCGGAAGCACAGATGTGTGACAATGGTACAGAAGCACAGGAAGTGACTATGAATGCACAGAGGTTCTGCAGCTTGCGTCCATTCTCACACATTCCCGTTTTAGATTCCGAGCAGCGCTCCCACCCCAATGCGCTAGGAAACAGAAGGGTCTGGCGGAGTCATCCCAATGGAACGAGTTTCCTTCCCTGCAGTAGATCAGGACCAGAGTTGCGGTCCTTGCCCTCCGCGACCCTAGAAATCGTGACTTTCCTAGAGGAAGGTCCAGTAGGCGGACAGACCCGCAGACCATGGGGGGGACCAGTGCCTTGGGAAGCCCAGAAATGCCAGCGGCCAGGCCAGGGGAGGCGGGAAGGGAAGCGGAGTTGTTCCCAAGGCCGGTTGCGGAGGACGCGCCGCCCGGCGGGGCAGTGATTGCGGTGAATGAGAAAGGAGCTAGGGGCCCCCAGTCCCCGAAGTCTCCCGAGGTCGCTTCCCGAAGGACCCGAAGCAGCGACGGGCTCCGAGGTCTGGCAAGTTCCTGGGAGTCGAGCGCGCGAGGGAAGCGAGCTTCTTACCTGGCCAGGCTGGCTGGTGTAGGAGAAGGAGTAGATGTCCTCGGTGCTGAGGCTCACTACGCCGCTGTAGACACGATCGAAATCGGCGCCCCTGGCCGGGTCGTGGGGGTCGCGGCGCGCGAGGGGTGGCGCCGGGCTCCCGGGTGCCGCCGCCCGCAGGAGCCAGGGCAGCGCGCAGAGCAGGGCGAGCCGCGGGCAGCCGGGCATGGTGGGCGCCGCGCCCGCCGCGCAGCAGAGCCGCCCTGGGGACCGGGCGAGCGCAGAGCCGGTCCTTCCCAAGCCTCCCCGGGGGGCTGGCGCGCGCTTCGGCGCAGAGCGGGCGATGACGGGCAAGCCCAGCCGATGACAACGCGCCGGGGAAGGACCGAGCAACTATCGGTGCAGCCGCCGGGGGTCTCGGCGGGAGGTCACGGCCAGGAGTGAGGGGGCGGGAGATGACCCGCTGGGGGCTGCACTTTGCGCTCCGGCTTCTAAGTCAGTTTCCTGCCCCTTTTCTCATTTCTGAGAATCTCCCACTTACCAAACCAGAATTTCAACCGATCGCTTCCCCTTCAAAAAAATAAAAAAAAAAAAGAAAAGTAAAAAAAAAGCATTGAAGACATTAAAAAGAACTATCCACTAGTCTTGAAGAGTCAAGCTGACCAGCCACTGAGCAGGCAGCTCAATCCTTTTCAAATAAACATGCACCCTGGCCGCCAGCGAAGAAATAGAAAGCAGCAGAGCCTGTCCCCAAAGAGGGTGCACGAGTGCGCCTGGCCGGGCGGCTACCTGCGGAGAACTCCTGCCTGTCTGAGTGATGCTTATTAACTCCCAGTTCTCCCTTCTCTAGCAGAACCCCTTCCAGACACCTGTTTTATTTCCTGATCACCTCCTAGTCTCCAAGGAGAGACTCACGTCATCGCTTTCTCTCTAACCATCTGTGTATGCAAATATGCACAGTCATTAAAAAAAATAAATAGATATGGGTAAGAGGACAATTTCTAGCACCACCTGAAGCCTGGTCCCGGAAGTTGCCAAGGGTGACTCAGAGTAACTGGATTTATGCACAAGGCATTTCTTTCCACCCTATTTCTTGCCTACCTTACACTTTGTAATGACTTCTCGGATTCTGAAAGATTCCCTAGGATTCTGTATGTTTTTCAAAAGAGAGAGACACACAGCCCATCATTAAAAGGGAATTTTCTCACAAAAAACAGGGGGTTCGATTTAAGCAGTTAAAGAGCCAGATAAAGGGCGTGGTGGAAACAGGATCACTTGGAAGTCTTGGAGAACAGCAAATAGTCACCATTCAAGTGTAGAAGGGGACTCACTGTTTTATTTCAGCTGTAAGTTATTTACAAACTAGAAAAGCATATAATTGGGTTCAACCTGAAGGAACATTAAAAAAGGAGTCACAAAGAAGGAACCGATCTTGTTCAAAAAGTTAAGATTACAGATTAAAATCCTAGCATTTGCCATTCAAAGGGAGTTTTTTGTTTGTTTTACCTCATTGAATTCCTACAATTTATTCAAACTTCAAAAATAAGTGCAATGCATTTGGTATAAAGTTTTATAACTGCACAATCAGAAAACAATGCTGATGACTCCTTATTAGGACAATTTTTTTTTTTTACTTTAAAAAAAATGTTCTTGAAAATGTGTGCCATAAGGACAAAAATACTAATTCAATGAAGAATAGTCCAGTGGTTAAAGTTTAAAACAGAGCTCACTGATTTTAAAAAAACATAACATGGTAACTTCATTCAGACTTTCAGAATTTGAATGACTTCAAACTGCTGTATTTGAAATGACTATGTCTCTTTTTAGAATTTAACAAAATTTAATCATTGAAATTTATGAAACCCTTCAAGGTCAGCCTGATTGCTGCCTAATCACTCCCCTGCCAGCCTGATCTCCCCCAACTGCCCTCCCCTGCCATGACCCGCCTCCCCCACCGGGACCCACCTTCTCCACGCAAGGCTTCGGAGATGCCAGGACCAGCCTTCTCTATGCCGCCTGGAGCCACGGGACCCCCAGGCCTCACCCTGCGGAGCAGCCGCTGGGCTCCGCCTCTGCTGTGCACGCAGCCATCTTGTGATGGCCATCTTGTGACGACATTAGGGTGTGATGCATGAGGGCGTGATGCCACCTAGGCTATTATTAGTATAGATGTATACTCCAGATGAAGATCTTAACACTATACCTGACTCTATAGGCTAAAATTCCCCTTGACACAGGGAACATAATTGGAGTGGAATCTGTTAAAGTTCGGGTAGAGTCTACCAAACTGTTAGCCAAACTTCCCCAAAGCTAGAATTTAGAGTAAAGAAAAGCCTCAGCCCTATAGTCAAAAGCCTTATATCTCAAGGCCTTTTTATAACCTGCCCTAATACTTGTAACATTCCTGTCCTGCCAGCAAAGAAACCAATGGACAAGAATATTGATTTATTCAAGATCTCAGGGATATCAATGCAATTCTTTTTCCTCCCTTTCCACTAGAATCTAATACTAAATACTATCCTGCCAACAGTTCTTCCTCAAACCACCTGCTTCCCTGTAGTGGATTGTTGCTCTGCCTTTCTCTGTGTGCCCCTACACCAGAATAAATCAACATCTTTTTGCCTCATTGGAGAGGATAATACTCTATATGGACAGATAGGCCCAAGAGGTTCACTGAAGCCCCTCCTGTTTTCCTAGGTCCTTAATTAAGAATGAAAGGATCCAGCCCTAGCCAGCTTTGCTCAGTGGTTAGAGTGTTGGCCCTATGGACTGAATGGTCTCAGGGTCAATTGTGGTCAAGAGCACGTATCTTGGTTGCAGGCTCAATCCCTGGCCCCGGTCGAGGTGTGTGCAGAAGGCAACCAATGGATGTGAACGCTGTTTCTTTCTCTGTCTCTCCCCCTCCCTTCCACTCTCTCTAAAAATTAATGGAAAAATGTCCTTGGGTGAGGATTAACAAAAAAATGTAAAGGATCCAAATTTCCCTTGTGATTCAATTTTGATATATGATATAGATGATTTCCTACTTTGTTCAGAGAAGTCTGTAAGAAAGATTCCACTTACTTGTTCTCAGGCTTAGCAGAAAAGGGAAATACAATTACAAAAAAGATAAATTGCAATTTTGCCAAAATATAGTCCATAATTTAAGGCATGACCTATTTAAGGAGGGGAAAACATTCACTCATGACAGGTTAGAGACTATTCAAACTTACCTTAGACTCCTCAAAAAACTACAATTGAGATGATGTCTATAGGTTTAACTGAAGAGTTCAGACAGTGGGTGCACATTTTTTTGAGATTGTGATACCTTTTTACGAAATGCTAAATTTTTGGTAAGAACCACTCTCTTTTAGGAGCCCACGTATTAAACAAGTCTTCTATAATCCAATCTTCAACAGTCTGTTTCCCTAGACATCCCTAACAACAAAAAACCCTTTTGTCTAATTGAACATTCTTGGCAAACCTTGGGGTTTTAACGCACCTTCATGGGAACCATCAAAATCCCGTCACTACTGTAGCCGCACCCTCAATCCAGTTGCAAAGGCTGATACTCCTTGTCTTAGGGCAGTGATGGCGAACCTATGACACATGTGTCAGAGGTGACACGTCAACTCCTTTTTTTGGTTGATTTTTCTTTGTTAAATGGCATTTAAATATATAAAATAAATATCAAAAATATAAGTCTTTGTTTTACTATGGTTGCAAATATCAAAAAATTTCTATATGTGACACGGCACCAGAGTTAAGTTAGGGTTTTTCAAAATGCTGACACGGCGAGCTCAAAAGGTTCGCCATCACTGTCTTAGGGCATTGCCAATGCAAACCGGGCCAATGCTATGCTTCTGCTGAATTTAGTCTAGGCTCCCTGCTTGACCGTATGGTTCCCCACGCAGGCTTTACTGACTGAGAGCACACAGAACTTCAGCCAGTCAATTAACCTCTGCTGCTCTCTCCCTCTCATAATACTATTCATTGCTGTCAGACCCGGTACTCTGCTACTCTCCTGCCCTTACCATAAGAAGGGGAACCTCATGATTGTCTTACTTCAGTTAGGGAACTTTCTGTACCTGCTCAGCTTTATTAGAGACTCCCAGTGAGAATTTTGACCTAATGTTTTTTTTTTTGTGGTTTTTTTTGGTTAATTCTCACCCAAGGATATTTTTCCATTGATTTTTAAAGAGAATGGAAGGGAGGAAGAGAGACACACAGAGAGAGAAACATTAATGTGGATAGACACATCGATTGGTTGCTTCCTACGCATGCCCCGACCAGGGCCAAGGATTGAGCCCACAATGGAGGTATGTGCCCTTAACCAGAATCAAACTGGAGAACCTCCTGTCTGCTGGCTGATGCTCTATCCATTGAGCCAAACTGACTAGGGCTTGACCTAGTGCTTGCTGATGAATCATACCTCAAAATGGAAACTGGAGGTTATCAAGCTACTATTAACGCTATCACTAATCTACACTCCCCTTTAAAAGACAGGCCTCTATCAGGTAAAATCAGTCCAGATGGCAGAATTTATCACACTTAATAGAGCTTGTCAACTAGCCAAAGACCAGAGAGTAAACACGCAGGCGTGCTCTGGAGTCGTACATGATGCTTTGGAAACAAAAAGGTTTTCTCATCTCTGTTGGAACCCCCATCAAAAGTGGCCAAATTCAGGAATTTTTACATGCACTGCTACTTCCCAGTGAGATGGCTTTCATAATGTTTGAGGTGCATGCTAATGGAGATAATATGGAAATTAAAGGAAATGCTGTAGTAGATCAATTTACCAAGCAAGCAGCTTCCACCAAGGTTATGATATTAACTAACCCCCAAAGGATAGATCTCTGGACTATTATTAAATATCCACACTTAGCTCTGGATCTGGAAAAGGAAGAATGGAAAAAATGTGGTATATTCTTCAATCAGGCCATCCTTGGCACTCTCAAGATGGCCATTTGGTGGCACCAGATGATTTCAAGTGGATAGTAGCTGAATTTCTCCACGAAACTACTGGTCATGGCCAAGACAAATTGCTTACTATCTTTAAAAAAATATTTATTGGGATGACATTGGTTTTAAGTGCACAATTCTATAATACGTCATCTGTATATTGTATCATATGTTCACTGCCCAAGGTCAAGTCTTCAAACTTTTTTCATAATCATGTCATTTGAAAGCAAAGACAGTATTATTATTTCTTTATTTTTTATTAAATTATTGGGGATGACACTGGTTAA